TAGTTACCGTTTAAAAATTCAAAACAAAACTTGTATATTTAAGAATTGCTTTTATGGGGGAAATGCTTGAACGGAGGAGATTGCTCTCCGTTCAAGTGATGAGTGAAGTGCTTCATTGCGAAAGAAGCTTTTGAGAAATATGGTTCGCTTTTGAGAAATTAGCTTTCTATTTTTTTTTTAGTACAATAAGCTTTTTACTTTAAAAAGTGTTTGCAAAAGCTTAAAAGAATTGTTTTTAGTTATTGCTTAAAAAAGATTAAATTGTTGTTTCTAAGTAATAAATTCCGCTTAAATTAAACATTATAAAGTTAAATGTTAAAAGCAGTGTTTTAAACAACACCTATATTACTACTAGTGTTTCTAATTCCAAAAATATGACTTCTTGTAATTTTTCCAAAAAACGATACTCATCATACTAATCACTCACCCTATTTAATATAAAAATTGTCATTTTAATATTAAATTTTAATAATACAAAGTGATTAATTCCACTCTTCATCTCCCACCCACGCAACCAGCGCTGACTGATTGGGGATTTGGGGTGGTTGGCGCCTTGGCAGCATTGATTAATTATTAATTATAATCAATGTAATTTTAAAATAATAAATGTAATATTGAATAAAGGTAATAATTGATAGAGAGATTTACCTAAATACGACTAAAACTTATGAAAAAACTCATTGTAGGACTATCACTTTTTTGTGTAACAGCGCATAGGACTAAAATATAGATAGAATACCAAACCTGCCCTGCAAAGCCACTCTTCTTCTGTTCACCGACTTGTGAAGCTTGCGCTGAAGGATGTCTCTGCATTGCCTCTGCAACTTTCACAGGTACGCTTCTTCTTCTACTTCTCCTTCTCATTCTCCTTCTCCTTCTTCTTCTTTAAAGCTTCTCTATTTTCTTTCTTCCACCGTTAATCTCTTTTCTTGTCTTTTGGATATTCATTTTTTATAAATTCCATCTAATTCACTTTAAATCGCTCATACTATTTTTCTCATCATTTGGACCTGAAAATGGCATAATTGCTATGTTATTGAACACTGATTTGGAAATAATGTCATTGTCTTGACAAAACATTTACCAAGATGACAATTTTTATTTGACATTTCTAAAGAGTAAAAATGACACCAGCTTGACATTTTCCACGACTGCCATGTTTTTATATATGGAAATGTCATCTCCATGACATTTTGAGAACAAAGATGACATTTTTTACAAAACAGAGTAAGAAGACGAAGAAATCAGATGAGGAAGAGGAATCTGGGAGATAATGTTCGAATGTGAAGAGGAAGAGAGAAAAGGAAAGAGAGGCAGAGAATAGAAGGTGAGTAGTAGAACAACCTGGAGTTCTGGACTGGGCATCGTAGAGAAGGATCAATTGTTGAGGTGCATGAGAAGATGATCGCAACTGGAATTGCATGGGAGATATTGATTTTGAGTTGCAGGAGAAGAACATGGCGCAGAAGAAGGAGGCGGAGACAAGGATACACACAAGGACATTTTAGACTTCGTAGAAAACGTAAAAACTTACAATAGGAGCGAATGACTCCTATATTGAGGATAAAACATATTAAGTCCTAATTTGGGGTTTTATCTATGTTTTAGTCCTATTTAGGACAATTACTTTAATTGATATGATTGATCATTTTTGGAAAAACTAATAAGATCATGTCATGCATTTATTTCAATAATATTCATAAGAACGGTTTTTTGCGAAACATTACCAATATATACTTTTGAACGTTTTCTATAAAATTACTTTAAAAATTCATTTTTTATAATAAAAACAATTGCAAGCACTCACTTAATCTGCTCTCACAAAAAGTCAAATTCAAAACAAAATATTTCCCTAAAATTTCCCTGTCCAATAGGAAATTAGACCTAGTCGAATAAAAAGAAAGAAAATAGTGGAGAAAAAATAAATGGAAATTAGCAAAAGCTTCCTTTGGAAGAAAATAAAAGATCAACTCAAATGGATTAAATTTATTAAAGGTATTTCTCAAAACTTATTTTATTTATTAATTAGGATTTTATCAATCCATCATCTCAAAGATTGGTTAACTAACAATCACATGCTTGAAAGATGAAAATGTTCAATATGAGGCCTGAATAATTGAAAATTATTATTTAAGACCTAAAATATAATGCATTTTTAAAAATATTTTAAATAGTATTTAGTTTTATTTATAAACTAATAAACTTTTGTAAAGAAAAAATCATAAAACATTAACAGCTATATAAATAAATAATTAAGAAAACCAAAATATATTATTCTTTATGGGTTTGTTTTTTTTTTTTAAGTCCTGCCTGGATTAAGTTATCTATTTAAATGTAGCGGTACTATTATATGAGGTTATTTATTTTGTGTGTTGAATAAACAGTTTGAATTGACTAAAATAACTAATTTAGTATTATTCTTAGATTATGATGTTAATGAAAAGTTGTATTTATTAATATAAATCTATTCCGATCTAAAAATTGATACACAAGATGTCTTAGTGGACGTCTTAATGGGAATGATTATTATCTTACAACTTAATGACTAAATCAATTTTTTTACTTTGTAATTAAGTCATGCATTCAATTAAGTAGCAAGTCAACATGACTTAATGGCTGAATGATTAAGTCGTTGTTTTCGTTAAATCCATTTAAGTCGAAAGTACATATTCCGACTATATATCAACAATTTTTCATTGTTAACTCTTCGAATTGATAATTAATTAATTTGATAAAATTCATTGATTAGAAATTTTCTATCTAAAGAAATAAAAATCTAAACACGAGTAAAAAGTTTAGGGATAAATACTTCAATATTACTAAAACTCAACACTTTTCCTAAAATACAACTATACATGTTTTTGTGTGTATACCATGAAGCATACTTAACTAATGACCAAACACATACATGGGGTGGTTACCATACTTAACTAATTCGTTATTGATAGTGCCGCTACCCACTCATGAAGCATGACATTAGGATGTTAGATTAGGAATAAAAGTAGTGGAGTCAATGGGAAAGATATATTGTTTTAGTAATAGTAGTTATCATTATCTCAAAAGTTTAACAATACTAATATGCAAGCATGCTTAAAGTACACATCTACAAAAGACTTGAACTCGGCTGAAGCCCTAACGTTCTCACTCAGGGGGTATAATTTTGCCACCTTGTACGGCATATTGATTTTCTGCCACTCTCGTGCGGCTAGTTTCGCTATTTTCAAATTGTTTGGTTTTAGAATGCTTGTGAATTTGCGATTCATGAATTTGGCTAAATTTAGAAATGAATTTTCGTCTATGTTGACATCTACACATAAGATTTTGACGATTGCTTTAATTGTGGTGGCGACAATTGTATTTGCGAGAGTGTTATTGAAGTCAGTTTTGGCTCGCAAAAGCGATTTTACTCTCGTACTACGTCTCAAGATGGAACATGGCTAGGAGAATTAGCAATAAAGCCCAACTGCCAGGACAAAAGAAGCATCATCACGCTTTCGAGAAGATTGGGACAAAATGGGAAGGGCAAGCTTTGTGTATCAGGCTTGTCTTGGTGTTCAATTGTCTTAGATTGTCATGTGTCTAGGGATGGACTGGGACGGGTCAGCCTGGCCCAGGACCCGACCCAGCATTGTGCAGGCCCGGCCCGCCCTGATGAACCGGGACCGGGACCAAGACCGAGGCCCAAACCGGTGGGTTAAACAGGCGGGCTACGGGCTTCGAAAAATGTGGACCGGCCCGGACCCTTTTTTTGCATTGGGCTGGCTGCTAGATGGGTGGGGCTTGGCGGTTTGGAGTGGGGGTGGGGGTTCGAATTAATTCGAAAAGACCCAGGAAAAAAAAATTTGGAGCCCAGCCCGGCCCGATCCAGTCCCAGTACTAACCTTGGTCGATATCGGGCCTGAATATTTTGGACCCGGAGCCCGCCCAAGCCCTTCCTGGAGCCCAACCCGACCCATATTATTAGAATAATAATAATAAGAATAATAATAATTATTAGAATAATTATTATTATTATTATTATTATTAGAATAATAATAATAATAATATATTATATATATTTTTTTTTTGTATTGATAAAAATTATCTTCTCGGGTCGGGGTGGGGGTGGGAGATTCCACCTTTTGGACCAAATATATCGATAAAAATCAAATCTGAGATCTCATCTTAGTAAAGACAATTAACGTTTCCTTCTGTTTTTTCTGAAGGAGGAGGTTTTTGTGTGAGTCAGCAAGTCTAAATGACTTTCTACACACAGACTTTACGCTTCACGGTGTGCTATTTTTCTCTTGCCATGTAATCTCAACATTCTAACGGACTACCTACGTTGGAGGAAAAAAAGAGTAGTCCAAGTCTAATTTAATGATGTGGGACACTTTACGTGGACTAGACATTAATGCATTGTGGATGGTCTTAGACTCTCCAATGCTCATAGTCTTTATAGGGTTTTGCTGATCTGGCAGAAAAAAAAATAAACACCATGACGGCCCAAGTGCGAGTGAAGAAAGCCTCGAAAACTTGCTGACTAGAAAAAAAAGGCGTCGCTCCATAAAAAAAGAAGAGAGAAACGAAAAACACTCCGGTCATTTCTTGGAAACTCCCACACATCTTTATATTCTCAAGCTTCTCAAATCACCAAGAAGTCTGGTTCTCTCAAACAGGGAAGAAGGTTGATTCTCTCGAATCGTGGAAGAAGTTGGGTTCTCTCAAACTGCTGCTCAACCTCCATTTCTCGCCGCACAGGTTGGTACAATTTCATATGAACAAAAAGTAATTACCCTAAAAGGGAGTAAAACATTGATAAAATTCCAAAATAAGAGTTGATGTTGATTAATTCCCTAAATAGGAGCTATCCATTATTTGGTCCGTATCTTCTACCAATTTTACCCCTTTTTATAAAATAATTTACTTTATCTGCCAACTTACTTTTTCTTTGCCAGATTCTTGTGCAACCCCACCTCTTTCACTTTATCTCCCTCTTCCTCTGCCTCATTCATTTTCAGATCTGATTTCTCTCACTTCTCCATCTCCGATGCGGCAGATTACAAAGACTCCAAGAGTGGATCTTTTCCTCCAACTTCGGCCACTGGCAGACGACGACGACGACGGCGATCCTCACAGATAAGTTTTAATCTCTTGCTCTTCATTCTTCTTCTTCTTCCTCTCCTCCTCCTTTTCTTCTAAATTCCCCTTCTTTTCTCTTATGTTAATTTAATCGGCAGTGGAGCTTTAAGGAGCTTTTTGTTTTCATAGAGAAATTGGTGGCTTGTTTGATTAGGACCATTTTTTTTTGCTTTAATTTTCTTCTTTCCTAGATGATCTGTATTTACGTTTTTATTTATTGAGTTTTGATTTTCTCTTTCAATTGAACGATTGACTTTTAATTTCTTTTTTGAGTTAGTTCGGTTGAGTAAAATCATTTTCTTTTAATTTCTTTTGTGAAAGATTGATATTTATTTAACATTATAGAATATAATTTTTTACATTTAATTTCAGTCAATATTTTGGTAGAAATTATTTTCTGGTTTGAATCTGAAATTGCCATAATTGCCATTTTAAAGTGTTTTTATGGTATTAAGATCAAAATATTACTCCTTTGTAAATCAAAATTGCCATAATTGAAATTGCCATTATTGCCATATTTTTTAAATATAAAAAGATATTTTCGCATTTAGTGTCATTTGTATGGCACTATCTCCAAGAGGATGGAGATATATGACATTTGCTGATAAATATTTATAATGTCATTAATTGCCAAAATGACAATGGAACTTCTTCTCTTTTAATATGAATGCCATTAAGATGACATTCAAGGGATGAGATGTTATTCTAAAGCATTCTTAATTTCTAGATCTGAGATGATGGAGTCAAAAGAGGCTATGGGATGGAGATGGCGGCACCAGAAATAGAGATGGCCGGTGGTGACCCTGGAAAGAGGCAGCGGCGGAGATGGTTGTGGCAGCGGCGTCCGACGATTGTGGAGACTGGCGGCGTCCGGCGACTGTGGAGACTGGCGGCGACCGGCGACTGCGGAGACCGGCGGCATCCGGCGACAGTGGAGACCGGCGGCGTCCGGAGACAGCGGAGACCGGCGACATCTGGCGACGGTGGAGAAAGGAAAAATATGTTGTTGACTTGTTGTGTAATAATCCGTACATTAATTAGTTTGTTATTCTATTTTATATTTTTACTAAATAAGTTGGAGCAATCATTAAGGGCATTTTTGTCTCTTACTATTAATTTCCGTATGACAAACTACACTTGAGATAGGAGTTCTACTTTTGCATATTCATTATGTTTTACTCCTAAACAAGGAATTCTCTCATGAACTGATGAACAAAAGCATCTTTTGATTTTAGCCGCCTCGAGATACAATCGGTTCCTCATTGAACAGTTTATTTTGCTTTAGGCATACTGTTATTTTGCAACTAACGAGTATAATCATCGCATAATTTGTGGTATTTAATGTTTGGGTTGATTTTCTTTTACAATTTACAATTTGAGTTGAATTTGTTCTCTAGTTTTGATTTTTGTTTGTTCAGTACTTTCCGTCCAAGCCTGCAAGCTTGGATTTTTAAATGTAGATGCTCATAAATTTACCGTCAATGGAAGATTATTGAAAGAAACCAATCTGGGAATTCACCAAATAGGTATTCTTACATCTTTTACATCAATTCTTCATGTTCAATGAAGTAACAATAAGGAAATAAGAAATGTTTTTGAGTTCTTACAAACCTGGACAGTCTTTAAGCATTGATATTGAAAACATCAACTTATATGTCTGTTAGCTTAGCCAAATACATACATTAATAGTTGCACATATACATACTGCAATTCTATTGACCTTATTTTCCCAATAAAGCCAAACAAAGTAGTTAATAGCTTGTTTCTTGTTCTTATCTGTTCATTCCCACGGGTAGGATATGTTTTTCTTTCAATCCCTTAATTGCTCCAGCAACTTATATAGACATTTAGTTTGGTGTATTATCGTAATAACAATTTTAATTACTTTAGTCCTACTTTGTTGTGTCAACAGTTTGCCTAATTGCCTTAACTCTAGAGCTGCCCCTAACAGAGTAACATCAGAACCAAGGATTATAATGTTTTACAATTAATCTGGATAGTGGAAAAGCTTGAACAACAGTTTCAGCTAATTAACTAGCGTTATGAAAAGTATGACTTGTTGTGAGTTAACATTATATATATATATTGATACTTCTCGGTTTGTTGGGTGAAGCATTGCTTGAGACAATATGATTTCTATAAATACAATTAGACTATGCTTCTTTTTGCTCACTCTATTGCTCAAAGTTTAATTTTTAACATGTATGATATACACTCACTGATAAAAAATCTCATGACATGGTACTTAATGTATGTTGTAAAATACTCTTGCATTCTAATGAATCATATGTTTAGTAGATCAATTACATCATTAACACCAATTATTTTCAGGCCATATTGAATAAGATGTTGTAAGTTCCAGGGAAGACAAAATAAAAAAGATTCTTATGGCTTATCTAATAAAGGGAAATTGTGGAGTATCTCATAGAGTTAATAGTTTATCTGATAAAGTCTATCTTATTTTTCTAGAGTTTCTGCATTTTCATAGATATAATGAAAAATAAACATTTAGGCTCAGGTTGGTAGCAGTATGTAGCTTATTCTGATTATTGGGAACTGTATAGCAATTACATTGGCCAATCAAGCATTAGCTAGTGCCTTACAGAGGTTATACATTTCTTTTATGGGAACTAATAATAATGTAACGTACCTATTTTCAAAACCAGATATTACACTTTGCTGCCACAAATATAAAAAATAGAAAAAGTATGATGTTAGGCAGGAAGCAATTGATAGCATTTGATATGTTGTTATCTCAAGTCCTTTGACAGGTTACACGATTTTGTTCTTTTTCCTTATTTCTTTTCATAATGTGCAGGTACAATTTGACATGGATTCAGGGTCTAATCCTAACCTTGCTAACCTGTCAAGCCAAATTCCAAATCAATTTATTCCCATAAGCCATCAGTTTCAGCCCCCATATCAGCTCAATCCATTAAATGGTTCTTATCCTCCTTATAATGACCTACCTTACGGATCTCACTTCTCATTCCAAAATCTCTTAAACACTCCCATTATTTCAAGTGAGCCCACTGAAACACACAACTCACGCGGAGGAGGGAGAAGGAACCCCAAAGATTTCCATGATAGTTCCAATACTTCTCAACCTTTCACTTCTAAAAGAGATTATTGGAGTTCAGAAGAAAATGTTGCACTAACAAAAGCATGGCTACGTATTTCTACGGATCCTGATGTTGGTAACAATCAGAAACTGACAGCTATGTGGGAGCGAATCTTGCAAGTTTGGAGGGACACCATGGGAGATAAATTCAATAATGCCAGAAACAGTAACACCATCCAATGCCGATGGACAAAAATACAGAAAGCAATCAATAAATTCCACGGAATTTATGAAAAACTTGAAAGGCATCCTCAAAGTGGATCAAACCCAGAATATTTAGTACGTGTTCCTTTATATTTTTGTTTATTTCAGCTATGCATATGAAAGCACAAATACATCATTGCATTATTTTTTGTTTTTATTTTGACAGAAAACAAAGGCGTTGAGAATGTATGAAAGGCTTTCAAGTGGTAATAAGAAAAAAGAATTCAAGTATGTGCATTGCTGGGAACTTCTGATCAGGAATGCAAAATGGTGCACAAATCAGCTTACAAGGTCTTCTACATCTGATAAAGATTGTTTAGTCAATGGTAACACCGTGGTAACAGATAAGAACACACCTAATGTGGGCAATTGTTCTGTGGAGCCTGAAAAAGTTACATGTGATGAAATTGTGCGCCCACAGGGAAGGAAGAGTTGTAAAGAAAGAAAGCGTAAGTTGAATTCAGAAAATGGAGTGATAGAAGCGTTGAGTAAATTACAGTGTAACTTAGACAAGCAAGTCGAATTTAATATGGCAAAGATGGAATTGAAGAAGGAACTAATGAAGAAGGAGATAGAACTAAAAGAGCATAGTAAAAAATGAAGGTGAAAGATCAAGAAATGAGAGAGCGAGGCAGCGAGCCCAAAAAAGATTAGAACAAGGACGCATTATGAATCTTGATTTGAGTAAGCTATCCCCTACAGCCTGAGCTATATATGAAATATTACAAGCTCAAATATCAAAGGAGTGGGAAAGTGGTAGCTTTTATACTTGAATACATCAGAGATACATTAATGCATTTTAGTTTCAAACATGTCAGTGTCATTTGATTTCAAAGAATTTATTCTTCCTTTATAGCATTAGTGATTTAGATGGTTTAATTATATATTTCCTAAGAATATATGAACCTTGTTTGTTTATTAATGACATTATTCATTTTTTCCCTATTAAATCAAATGTATTGTTTATTTTTGTCCATCTCTAATCCTCAGCTATCAGGGAAATGATAAGTGAAAGGAAGTGTAACAATACACTTCCTTCAGAATTTCAGCCACTGTAACAACTGTGGTGTTGCTGCATTTGTTTATTCCAGGGGATTGTTATGAGTCAAATTAGGGTATTGCATTATTGGCTCAAGAAGAAATGGAAGGAAAGAGAAAATGATATTGTATATGTTAATGAAAAAGGACTCCGTTATTAGCTTTACCCATCCCTAGAGCTAGGACATACAGTTCAACCTCAATTCTAGTTATTTGACTTTGTCCACATCACAAATATTAAGGATTACATATAAGTTTTGGAAACCATCTAATAAATCATTAATTAAATCAAAACTAATTAATCATCAACAACTTGAGCACCATAGACTTCCCACAAATGGTTGATGAGATCCTTTTTTAGTTCTCTATGTAACCATGTGTCTTGTATCTGCTTTGTTCGATTAATCATCATGGACATAATTAAGGTAAAATCATGCTCTAACACCTTCACTGGGTTCATCTCCTTCGTCCCGCCAATCTTCTGGATTAACGCCTTGACTACGCTCATTCTCAATAATCATGTTATGTAAGATGATGCATGTCTTCATTATCTTTCCCAAGTCTTTAGTACTCCACATCCTAGCAGGTCCTTTAATTATATGCCATCGACTTTGTAACACACCAAATGCTCGCTCAACATCCTTTCGCGCTGATTCTTGTTTTTTTTGCAAATAATTTTTCCTTCATAGGCGATAGTTGAGATATTGTTTGTATAAGAGTAGCATACTTTGGATATATCCCATCAGCTAAATAATAACCCATGTTGTACTCATGACCTTGAACAATGAATTTGCATGGCGGAGCAATGCCATTTATTATATCATCAAATAGGGGTGATCTATCTAAAACGGTAACATCGTAGTTACTACCAACCATTCCAAAAAAAAGCATGCCAAATCCATAAATTTTGTGAAGCTACAACTTCTAAAATAAGAGTGGGAACTCTTTTAAAACCATTCGTATGTGTGCCATGCCAAGCAGTGAGACAATTTTTCCATTGCCAATGCATACAATCCAAGCTGCCAAGCATACCGGGAAATCCTCTGAGTCTCATTTTCTTCTAGGAGCACTCTAATATCTAGGGGTGGGCATAAAACCCGAACCGAACCGGTACCGAACCGTCCCGTAATGGTACCGAACCGAATACTGGGTATTTAAATGGTTCTATAGATTTTTGACTCGTACCGAAACCGACCCGTTTGAAACGGGTACGGGACCGGTCCTAGATTTTGAGAATCGAAAAATATCGGACCGAACCGTTCGAAAATAATGCATTTGAATTTTTTATAATTTATCTATACCAATAGATCTCTTTTATAGACAAACAATTTTATAGCCCACATATGTATTCATGTGTTCCTAAACTAGCTAAATGTGTGTGTTTGTATTATATATATATATATATATATATATATATATATATATATATATGTATATATATATATATTGTTATTTTTCCTTTTTAGATAATTTATGTTATATTTTGATATGTATTGAAAGAATATTAAAATTTTAGAAATCATTAAGGACTATTCATTTCTAGTAATGTAGTGTACATGACTTTTTGTGGTATCATGTTTGCACTATTTTACAACTTAATTAAGATGGTTTAAATTTTAGCTCTCAAGGTTCAACTATTAATTAAATTAGATATTAATATGTAATATTTAACCTAGAATGAAGAAGAAGGACATTGAAGATTTCTATTATATTGAACAATTTGATGATATTCTTTTTTATATTTTCACATGAACTTAGTAAATTAAAGATGATATTTATCTCGTGTGTCATCGTTTTGCTATACTTTTTCTTAGTTGTGTTGCACTATTTGTGTATTTGTGAATTTTAGTACGTAGTACTACATATGCAATTTCTTGTATTATATCAATATTTCATGTGAGTTGGTTGGTGTGAAGATATCTACCAATTGTAAGATTTGTTCAAAATTTTTAGCATGTGTTTGGCATTGTACCGTACTGTTTTGTACCGTTCCGAAACGGTATGGTACCAAACGGTTCTATCCTTGAAACCGGACCGTACCGGACCGTTAAAACCTAGAGGATACATCACGGGTTTTACTAGTTTACCGGACCGTTCCGGACCGCGCCCACCCCTACTAATATCATCCTTGTTTGGTTTTCTCAAATAATGCTCTTCATGGAGTCCTATAATAGCATCACAGAAACGCTTCAGGCTTTCAACTGCGGTACTTTCTCCAATTTGAACATATTCATCAAGCAAATCAGCTGGACAACCATATGTATTGCTACAACCATCTTCTGGAGGGGGCTCAACCCAATGTTTCCAACAGCATCTGTCTTTTGTTGAAAATATTTGTCGTAGTTCTCAACATCTTGTAGTATTCTATTGAATAATTCAACATTCATTCTAAATCTACGACGAAAAAGTTCAGGGGTGTACTTTGAGTTTTCACCTTTGAAGTAGTCATTAACTATTATGTCGTGGCGCTTTTTCCTATCACGGTGAATATAGCATCTACCTGATGTTGAGCCGTCAAGAGAGAACTTTACGGCGGTCAACATTGAAGAAACAATCAAGGGAGAATCCGAATTCTTATTTGCGCCATCAAATTAATGTTTGGAAAGTGAAAGTTCATTGTCACTTGAAGATGAACTATTAGAGTCTGAATCAAAATTAGGAGAAGCCATATCCATTAACTTAAACTTGTTCAAACACACACACAAAAATCAACACCCTTATTCTTATACGGACTATAAAAATTTGCATAATTTAAAACTAATAAATAAAAGATTATATATAAACAACATAATAAATAAAAGATTATATGTATTATTATATATATAATAATACATACATACATATGTGTGTGTGTATGTTTATATATTGCTTTTTCTAAACTTAATACCCCCTTCATTTAAAAAAAAACTTAACAACCCACTTACTGTTGTGAGTATGGATGACATATATATTAATATACATGTATGTATATAGAAATATACTACTATAACACATGTATATGGTCAGAATTATACATACAAAACATCGATGAAAAATTTAATAGGAAGCTGAATCCAAATCCACCTGCAATCTCATTATCACATTACAATACTATGCATATGTCATCTTGATATATCTCCAAATCCCATGGCTCATAAAAGAGGTACGTAGTATATATATAATTGAGTATGTACTCATATATACATATATATAATTGGGTTTTATGTGTGTAATAATTGAGTATGAAATATTATCGTTGCTTATCCATACGTATAAAATGCTGAAAAAAATGCTGAAAAAAATCAACCATATTACTTGTTCTTCAAACAAAAGCGTTCAATTTGATATCTGTTAACAACATAAATTACCTGTTCTTGGAATAACTTCAATGGATAGGGCTGAAATAGAGAAAGAGCAGGAACTTGTTTCGATCGATCACTTTCCGTTGAAACCTAACTACCGTAGGGATGATAGTATTTTATTAATTAAAGGGAGAACTACCATATAAGCTCTCGAACTTTCATAAAAAATGCAAATAAGCCCTTTTATAGGAGGCTCTGTCCAGCCGTCGTCATTTGGGCAGTTTCCAGTGGAATATTTTGTTGAAAATTTTTGAGCATTTTCTTCATTAAGTCTAGTTTACTCATATCATATTTCAGCTAAAAATTCAATCGGGAAGACAGTCAAATGAATTTTTGAAGATAACTGCGCAGTTAGGCAGAGTAGCATACTTCATAATATCATTTGACTGCCGTCTCGATTGAATTTTTAGCTGAACTTTGGTATGAGTAAACTAGACTTAATGAAGAAGATGATCAAAAAATTTCATCAAAAAATTCCACCGGAAACCGCCCCAAATGGTGACAGCCGGACAAAGCCTCCTGTAAAAGGGCTTATTTGCACTTTTTATGAAAATTCGAAGGCTTATTTGATAGTTCTCCCTTAATTAAATAAAAGCCACATGTATAATTGACTTGGGCCATGGACTTTTTGCACAGGAGGAATTTTTAAGTGAAAGTGCCGCTAGTCCACTTTGTATGATGTAGAATAGAAATCCTTTTAATTAATTGACATGTAGCACATTTCACTCATACTAGAAAGTCTTCCATTGGGGTTGCTCTAACCTGGTCATTTTAGTCTTATCTTTCTCTATTTTGTGTGTAGTGAATTAAGTTAGGTTTTCATGGATTATTTACTTTATGTCTATTCCTATAGCTTGAAATCATATCAATCCAACTGTCTAGGTTTCGTTTTGCATATTCTTATTATCTTGGTATAAGATTTTTACCATAAAAAAACAATACCAATATGCATTTTTATAAAACACTAGAACTAAACAACCAATAACTTTCTTCGGGCCCTCTTTCCTTGAGTTATGCAAGTACATACACTCGCACAAAAACTCTAATAAAAGAGGCATGTTGCAACATCATATTATTTAATACATCACATCACTTTTACACCAACGATATTTATAAATTACAATAGCCATAACATTTTTTGGGATTCAAACATATTTTAGTTAAATCAAGCATATATATTGAAAGAACAAACATATTTTAGTTAAATCAAGCATATATTTTCCGGGATTCAATTCCATTACTCATATGCAATATCTAAAGATAGTGTTCAATCATAAATTCATAACTACCATATAAGTCTCACTAACATTGGAACATGAGAAAGTGGTACAATTATGTGATTGATATTAAATGGCTAAAGGGTCAAATAGGCCCCTGTACCTTTCCGGATTGTTCAATTTGCCCCCGAACTCAAAAAAGCTACAATTGTCATCCTGAACTCCATAAAAAGATTCAAATTTTACTTTTTGCAGGTCGCAAGCCGGTCACCGCCACATCACCCGGTAGGGTGCCAACTGTGCATGTGACATGGCAACTTAAGGGGTCAAATAAGCCCCTGAACCCGACTGAAATGTTCAATTTACCCCCTCAACCCTTCAAAATGTTTTGACATTTTTTAGGGTTGAGGGGGTAAATTGAACGATTCAATCAGGTTCGGGGGCTTATTTGACCCCCTATGTTGCCACGTCACATGCACAGATGGCACCCTACCGGGGTGACGTGGCGGTGACCGGATTGAAACCTGCAAAAAGTGAAATTTGAATATTTTTATCGAATTAAGGGTGCCAAATGGAGCTTTTTTTTGGGTTGAGGGGGCAAATTGAGCAATCCGAAAAGGTACAATGACCTATTTGACTCTTTAGCCATATTAAATTAATGAAGTAAGAATAAAGCATAATTTAGAACTACACAAAGTTTACGAAATTTGGTAGAGGACAATTTTAATGAAAAGAATCAAAAAGGAAAGGTGAGACAATAGAATGAAATGAGTATTACATTAGATAAAATTTTCGCTTCACTCCTATTACCTGCTCTCCTTTTACATCCTATTAGATAAAATGGGTAGATCTCCTTTGGCAGCCAAATCGGGCTTGTTCTACTTATCACAAAATAAGTAGAATAATTGGAATTAGAGGAAGCATAATAAGAAGCTTTTGACCTACTTGTTTGGCTGAAATAGTTTTGACCAGATGATTCTCCTCTCCGAAAATTGAGCCATTTCAACAACAAAAAACACTTAGCAAATTAAGATAGCTAGGATAATTGACAGGGTGATTGATGCCCGCAAAATTTGGGAAACAATGAGTCAAGACATATCAATGCGCCTATAAACAGCTCGGAATGTCTGACCGCCATTGCGGGCAACCTTTTGCCCTTCCTCAGTTGCAGAAGTCAAGATATTGACTGCTTCATCATCTTCAAGTTCTTCACGAGAAAGAGCTGCAAAGAGTGGATGATCTTCCAAACAGGACTTCATCCACTCCCCAAGCTCCTCGACATCAGTGATAGTGTATATGATGCCCCCAATAGCAAGAACATAAGCATACTCATCTAGAAGGTGAGGACTGATCACCCGCCGCCTATGGTTCTTCTCCTTGAAGTGTGGGTCGGGGAACAAGAAGAACATCTTCTTAAGCTGCGCTTTTCCGAAGTAATTGGGAATGTACTTCATGGAATTAGTTCTAACAACAGATATGTTCTCGTATTTACCAGGATTATTAACCCTTAATGCAGTAATGCGTTCCTTCACATACTCAGTCACCTTATCCCTCAATTCCATTCCAATCATCAAGGTTTCAGGGAAGAGGGGTGAAAGAGAAATCAAAAGGCCGCCGAATCCACACCCTATATCTGCAAACTCGATCTGTTTTGAGGATCCATCGGAAAAAACTGGGTAATGAGATGCAAAATCGACTTGTGCGGGGCAAATTGGTACAGGGAAATGGGAATCGCTTAATGGATTGCTATGAGCCCTAGCTCGGTAAAACCGTTTACGAGGCAGGCCTGTTTTCTTGCTTAGAGTGGAATTAGCTTTACCTGTCATCATCTTGCTTCCTGACCACAAGTAAATAAATATCAATTACAGGCAAACCTTGACCGGAGATACGACGAGGGATACGCGCAGGCGGGTTGAGATTTTAACGTAGCTCGGAGCGGCGCGCACTTGATCTTCTCCAAGAATTAGGGTTGGCTTGCTCGTTTCAAAGCATGGTCATGGGTGGTAAAATACATCGTACGGGCCGGTTGTACGGTGCTCACCGTACAACTGAGTTTTTTTTGTAATTAAACCTCCGTGATTCAACCCTGTAACTTGTGATTCAGCCCTACAACTCACCAACGAAGACGATGAAGGACGGCAGATCGAAAGTTTGGTGCAACTCACGAAGGCAGATCGCTGATAGCCAAGCTTCCAAGTGCAACTCACGAGTCACGACTGAGATTCTTAGCCGACGCAGAGACGGCTCTACCCCTGCGAGCGATTCCTATTCTTCACACTCTATTTTTCGATCTCCGCTAATAACTGGCCTGCTACATGGGCTACCACGTTTTTTTATACAAAATGAAATTATGAGCATAATAGACATTTCGAATGAGTTTTATGATTGCTCGTTTTGTAATTTATGTATACTCATTTGATATTTGCTTAGTACTCATTTTAAATGAAATGAGTTTTATGTTAAACTCAAATGAGTATAACGCCCAAAAAGAATGAGCACACATAAATGAACCTTTTAATTAGTTATTTGATACTAACTTGTAAGTTATGTATGCTCATTTTAAAATGTTGAACATTTCAAATGTATCGTACTAAACGAAAAAATAATAAACCAAAAGTGATATATAAGGTTTGAAGTAGAGATCACTGATTCTCACCGTTAGGCTCCTAATACTCAAAAGAACGGGATTGATGCTCATCAAAGTTGCATAAATGCTCATTTAGGAGAATCCGCGATTTTCACAAAAAATACAATTTTGCCACCGGCTGTACAGTGATCACTGTACAGCCGGCTGTACAGTATACGCGTCCGGTCATGGGTGGCATTTAAAACGGATTAAAAGAAGAGGTATTTACCCAAATGGGAGTAAATCAATCATTAATTGCTAAAATAGGACTAAAGTATAAAAATTCCCTAAATATGAGTTATTATTTGTATTTGGACAAATATATCCTTGAAGCTTGGTAACCAGAGACCCAATGTCGGACCGCTGCTTGCCTGCCGTCGCCGCTTGCCGGCCTCCGCCGATCGCCGGCCGCCGTTGCAGATGCGGATCTGGTCATCGGAGCCATAGATCTGGCCGCCTCCCGTCTTTGACTTCTCAAATCCGGCCGCCGGCGTTGCAGATCCGGCCTCCGCTGGTGTAGATCCATCCTCCGCCGCTTCATCTCTGGCCACTGCCGCCACTGTTGTCAACATTTTTTCATAATGTCAAAGTGATTCGAGAATGCCATTTTAAAGAGAATTACAAAAATTTTTGAAGAGTAAGAATGCCATTTTGATGGCATTTTCAGAAAAAAAAATGGCAATTTTAGCAGAAATCGGCCAAGCATCGAACATGCGACAAAAACAAAAGGGGAAGAGAAAAATACAATTTTTTCCTGTAGAATAAGTGTTAGGAAATTGATGTAACGTACCTCGAAAGTACGCCAACGGAAGTTTAAAATTTTCCCAAACAGATCTTCCATGATTATGACAAAATAACGAATATGATAATAATAACAGATCTGAGTTAGAACTTACAGATCTTCCAGCCTAGCGGTGATAATCCTTGACCTTTGGTATCCACGTGATTTCTCCTTTCCGAAAGAACGGTTAGATCTCCCTAAGAGAAAGGCTAGGAAATCTCTTCGCAGGGAAATAAACTGGTAATGCTGAATCTGAAAACCGATATCTAAATTATGAAGGAGGAGGATGTATTTATACTAGTTCTAAACTAGTTTCCCAATCACAATGAAAGTCTTTCTCATTAATGAGTTCTAGTCCTACTAGGACCAATACTCCTTATTAATGATTTACATTAGTTAATTAAATAAAATAAAATAATCTAATAATATGAGTAAAAGTTGGCTTCACCTACGCCACTTTACTCTATTATTATTTATTTTATTTTCTCTTTTCTTTCAATTCTAAATTATAAAGAAAAGTAACAACTTTAATTAATTAAAAATACATCTTAAGTAAGTATAATAAATCTAATTTATTACACTTAATTAAATCTATCAAATAGAACTCTTCTTCAACATCACGAATTAAATATAGTTAATCTAACTAATATTTAATCCATTTTCAGTATTACGAATTAAATATTATTTAATCTAATTAATATTTAATTCCTTCTAACAATTCTATCGGAAGGTATAATCACTTGTTGTGTGACCCATAGGGCCTTATATATTAAGCACTAATCAAATCAAGGTCTTAGTAGAATCCCTAGACGATTTACCAGACAAACTTAATATATGAGGACGTTTGCGAGGACTATTCAAACTCCCTGTAATATAGAGCTCATAGTGATACGGTCCTTTCATTCAACGAACATTCAACTAAGTCTAGAACATGATATTGTGTCTATCCCAATAACTCAGTCTCTGTCTCTCAATCTTTCTAGATGATCCATAACGATCATATTCGATATCCAAAACGAATATATCTTTGCATTGGCCAATGACTTTATGATCCATCTAGATATGAGAAGTAGAATGTTCTCTCTTAATCTATTATGAGGAATGAATCCTTTCTTGGCTCAACTACTACTCCATGTGCTTCGTGATGCACCCAACACATGCCGTATCTACCCCGATTGGAGTGCAAGCGTTGGTCATGGTCAAAGTACATCACTCCGCACATGTAGTACGTATTGACCTCAAGTCGGAGGACTATTACACTACTCTATACGCCGATAATCCCATAGACACATGAATAGAACTCATCAAATGGTTTCTCGGTGGGTATGCCAATATTCTCTAAAATATCTATGTGACCATCATGAATTACAGGAACTCATAGTCGTGAGATCAACTATACTTTCTAAAAGTATGATGCAGTCCACATACCAATCTTATCGCATATCATCAATATCCCATTCTTGATGATCATTGATTGGGGCTATTTTAGGACCTTATGTTATATCATATAAGCTCCCACTTACTTATTGACAACATAAGTCCAAGGGAACACAATTATGAATAAGATATTGACAATTGAAATACTTAATCGTCAATGTGTAATACCGTATATATCAAATATATAAAACTGAATGTGATCAAGTACATATATCTCTAAAAAGTGATTGTCGCTAGGACATATATACTAACAATCTCCCACTTGGCCTAGTGCCAATCACCGATGCGTCTAACACCTAGTCTCTTAAAAGTCTAGTATGTTTCTCGCATCTCAAAGGTTTGGTGAATGGGTGAGCCAAATTGTCTTCTACGGGAAGGCATTCTATTGCAACTTCTCATCTTGCTATTTGTTATCAAAACATGATAGCATACTGGTATTTTCTAGTTCCTTACTTCGCATCTTGGTTCCTTAGCTTGTTCAAATGCACCAGGTACAATCACAATAACAATTATTGGATAACTGTCGCTAGGAACTACCCCTGTGTCTTTAAGGAACTAACATATCTAAACGTTTACCTGTGTTGTATCAAATGCAACAATTTACTAGGCTCTAGTTGTCGAATTTATAGTAGTTTCTAACTTGTAACTCTTTCAGCACTACTATTACATTGAGACTAAAAACATATATTGACTGTGACTCGTAGTCTTTCTTATCATACATGAAACTAGTGCTAGAATAATTAAATTCTACTGGTCCTTTCTGTCTACCATAGACAAAAAGATGTTCATGAAGATTTTGGGTGACCATCCTTTCACGGACTTCAATGAGGGGATATCATTCTCTATGATCAACATATATCATTACAAAGACCACGCTATCCTTGTTGCGCACTCTAAACACGCAAGCATCCTCATTTCATTTGATGAGGTCAATTGATTTGACTATTTCATCAAAATTAATATTTCAACTCCTAGAGGCTCGTTTTAGCCCGTAAATAGATTTCTCTAATTAACATAATGATTTAGAATTTTACATGGATGCAAAAGCCTTCAGGTTGTACCATGTACACCTCCTCCTTGAGGTTTCCATTAAGGAAATGGGTTTTGATATCCATTTGTCAAATCTCATAATCATAGTATGTAGCTGTCACAAACAAAATCCGAATGGTCTTGAGTTTTGCAACTGGCGAATAGGTATCACTATAGTCAATTCCTTCTCTTTGACTATAACCTTTAGCCACTAGCCTAGCTTTGTATGTTTGCACCTTGCCTTCGACATTAATTTTCTTCTTGAAAATCATTTGCATCCAATGGGTCCAACCCCAACAGGCAAGTCAACCAAGTTCCATACTTGATTGATACACTTCGAGTCCATTTTAGATTTTATGGCTTCTCGCCACCTCTATGAATCAACATCTAATATTGCTTCTATGTGGGTCTCAGGTTCATCCGTATCAGGAATCTTAACATCATCATGATCCTCCATGAGGAAGCCAAACCTAGTTAGTTCATGACGAATCCTAGTAGACCCACAAAGTTGAATGTTTTGCGTTTTGTTCAGGCTGTTCATTCTGATAGTGAAGAGGTTCTCTTTCATTGGACTATCCCAATGTTCAGAGAGTTTCTGGTGCTTTACTCAGAGAGGGAGAGTTAGGTGCAGAAGGAATGACAACCATGCCATTACTTTCTTCATAAGAATCACCTGCTGGTGCGAAGCGCTTCCTATATTACTCCCACTAGCTGAAGGATATACTCCTAGAGACATTCTTCGACTTAATTCTCCCTTTGAATCCTTCGTCAGACCATCTAACAAATCTTCATTCTCTATGTTACTTCATCTTTCAATTTTATTAGTGCACATTTCTTTACATATGTAGGGCAACCCATATTTAATATGTGAAGAAAATGTCTTTTATTATACCACAACTCATATAGTACGTTTTGCACTAATCAAACCATTCAGAATGCATATTGAGATTTATAGTGTGTACCCTAAAAAGAATGTTTGGAAGAGAAAATGAATTCATCATAGATCTAGCCATGTCTAACAAGGCCCTATTTCTCCTTGCAGAACGTCACACTTCTGAGGTGTTCTGGAGGAGTTCATTATGATCGAATTCTTCGATCTTTTAA